TACCTGGAACCTTGGGGGTCAGCTTGGAGTTTACCTGTTGGCTTTTCCTTTTAGCTCTTCCATCCACCTGGCTGGTTATAACTAAGCAGGCCCTGAGCCCCGCCTTGGGCAGCCTTGGGGCCTCAGCTTGCTTGACTGGCCAGGGGGTGGCTGAGGTCTCCTCTGCTGCCACCATCTACGGGAAAGAAGCAAAGGCCCAAAAGCTAAATGATTGTTTGAAAGCCATCATTCCATGGAGCGTGAATTTCCAGGATTTCACCTGCGAGTGTGAATAGTTTCAGAACTGTAAATGTTATGAAACCACGAGTTTCTTCATCCGGAGGGAGGCAGGTGGTGCAGAAAATCTGCTCTGGAGAAATCACCATGAAGGCAAGTTCCCAGCCCGGATCCAGCACCTGATCACTGACCCGCTCTGGGCTGGATGTTGATTAACTTCACCGGGAGTTCCCCCCCCCCCACCCCCGGTGTCCGAGGGCAACTTCTGACCCGGATAAAGTCTGCGCTCACCGTGTGACCTTTACAGAGAGGCAGTGGCGTGCCGCCTCTGGGGTCCCTGAAATAATAAATCACCAGAGGGCTGCTCAAGGGGGCAGACAAAGGACAAAGAAGAGACAATAGCTCCAACTTCTAGAGAGCACTTGTTGTTTTGAAATGCAATTACGATCCAATAATACAAATATCGACATCTGGAATTCTGCGGTCTTGGTGCCTGTCTGTTCTGTTTAGAAATGGAATGCTAGGCTTCCCTGGTGGCGCAGTGGTTGAGAGTCCGCCCGCTGATGCAGGGGACGCGGGTTCGTGCCCCGGTCCGGGAGGATCCCACATGCCGCGGAGCGGCTGGGCCCGTGAGCCATGGCCGCTGAGCCTGCGCGTCCGGAGCCTGTGCTCCACGGTGAGAGAGGCCACAACAGTGGGAGGGCCACGTACCGCAAAAAAAAAAAAAAAAAGAAAAGAAAAATGGAATGCTAATCAGGCACAATTTCTTTCCTGTTCACGGGCAGAGAGCATGGCGTTTGGGAAAGGACTGGTTCACGGAGAGAGCAGATCTCTTAGCTGACTTGTCATTAGAGAAGCTCCAAGGGTACAGGGCCATCCACCAGGCCCCTGCCCTCACCGACTGACCGTCCAAAGAAACCCAAACCAACAGAGGCCTGGGAAAAGTGCTCTCAGAACCAACTTGGTTTGAAAAGCACCAAGAAAGAAGCCAGACCTGATCAAATATTTGCAGTCGTCCTGGGCACTTCTGTCCTGGGCTAAAAATATGAATTCTAGACAAGGAATTTGAAGATTGTTTTTCTTCTGGAACTAAGGTCTGGGGAGGAGGAAGGTGCTTTGTCCGCCAAGAGGCTGAATTGGCTGTGATGTGCCCAGGGTCTCTGTTATTCGCGCTGAGTCCCTCTGGAAATTCTGTTTTCTATGTGTTTGGGGCCTCTTTTATTCTAAACTTCCTAAACTTTTTCCAAGCCATCAGTGAGGTTGGGGGGAAAACATGCGTGCCCCCTTCCTCACTTTCAGATCCCAAGCTCTAGAAAATCCAAAGTCTGTCCATTTCCCTGATTAGATGACCAAAGGAAAACTGAACTCAAAAAAGGCAAAATGGGACATCAAAAAATACCTTGCAATAGTCTCCTCGGACATTTCAGGGGAAATGACTCAGGCATTTTTTTTCTAGCACAGTCTGAGAACAGAGACCCTTTCCTGGGAGAAAGAAAAAACAGCTTCAAAGTTCTCCAAGAGGTGATCAATCCCTCATGGTTATTAATTTTTAACTTGTGATGGCTTTTATTACCCAAGCTTATACATTCTACCTCAAAGGCCCTAAGACAGGAAAGACGGCCCCAAAGAGTTTTGCAAACACTTAAAAAAAACCCCAAAACCCTACACTTTTAGGATTCATTGTTCTGACTATGCTGTTCCAGGTCCCAGTTAATGGGGTAAAGGAAAGTTCCAGGTGTCTTAAAAGTGCTGACGAATCCAGAAGGATTATACAGCTCCCCCCTTCAAACCCAGGGCCCACGTAGTTTTCAAAACCAGATGCTTATCTAGCCAGAATTCATTTAGATGTGTGTTTTTGTTTTACAAGCTGATGGTCAAAACATAAAAGTAGTTTAAGCCCTAAAACAATCACAAAGGTCAGAAATCAAGCAGTTTGTCAATGCACAAAGTTTGATGCCTGGGGGTAGCAAATCTATTTTTCTTTAGGTAACATAAAGGGACAGAAGTCCTAAATAGGAAACTAACAAAACGGTGGTGATTCCCCACCCCCGTCCCCAGTGCGGAAGATCACAGATCTCAGATCTGGAAATTCGTGTGTCCCCCAGAGGGGAGTGTGGGCGAGGGCGCCCGTGAAGCCAGGTGGCAGGGGTCAGGCATTTTATTCTTACTGCTTTAATAACTTTTTTCTCCCTTGACAGTTTTATTGAGAGCAAAGCAGGAGCGCGGAGGCTGCAGCCGTCTCAGCTCCCAGCAAACTCATTTCTGGGCACTTACATTTGTGCCAGAGCCGTTACATTTTCCGTTTTCTAGCTGGGAATGGAATGTTGATACTGTGTGATTGTTTTATTTATTTTATACGTTTTCCTTGGAATGTCTACGTGTGGCCTCTGTCTTGGCTTCACGGCCTCTTGATTTACGGTAGCTATAAACATTCCAAAGTAGACGTGTCAGTTAAACGATACAATAACATTATACAGTTACCATTCTGTTATAAATGTGCCCACGCTTCCAAAAAAATCCATTTTCCGGGCCCCCTCCCCGACCCCACCGCTTTCTGCTACCTACACAGTGATGACTTTGGAAGCTACTGGCTCAGTGGAAAGATGGCAGAATACCTAAGCTTTAGTCAGAAAGTGGCCTCACCACCCCCAGCCCTGCCCTCTGGAAAATATTTCCAAGAAGCCTCAGTACTAGTGTCCAAAAGCAATATGCTCATGTGAGGAACACATTTGAACTTTCTTCCCACCGAAAGTCACATTTATTTCCGTAAGCAGTGTACTCCCAGGAGAGGCGTGGTTCCAAGATGGCAGCCGGTGGAGTAGCTGAGGAGATGACCCGCCTCTCAGTCCACGGGCGCTTTTCCACTTTGCCCACATGGAGAGAGTGGTTCACTTTCCTAAGAGATGTTGGAAGAGGGACAGAAGAAACCCTTTCCGCCGACGCAGCAAATCCAGGGGCTTAACGTTCAGTCAGAAAACTCACCTCAGTAGCTCCCACAGAGAAATATCAGGGTGAGATTCCTCACACATCTTTCCACAGAAAACGCCAGAACCACCATCCAGACTGCTATAAGCGCCCATTTTCTAACTGACGGGTACAAATCTGACAACTCATATTTGAGGTAAAATGTTCACATAAAGAATTTCCATTCTCGGGACTTCCCTGGTGGCGCAGTGGTTAAGAATCCGCCTGCCAATGCAGGGCACACGGGTTTGGTCCCTGGTCGGGGAAGATCCCACATGCCGCAGAGCAGCTAAGCCTGTGCGCCACAACTACTGAGCCTGTGCTCTAGAGCCCGCGAGCTGCAACTACTGAGCCCGTGCGCCACAACTACTGAGCCTGCGCTCTACAGCCCGTGAGCCACAATTACTGAGCCCGTGTGCCACAACTACTGAGCTTGCCCTCTAGAGCCCACGAGCCACAACTACTGAGCCCGTGCCCCACAACTACTGAGCCTGCGCTCTAGAGCCCGCGAACCACAACTACTGAAGCCCGCACGCCTAGAGCCCGTGCTCCGAAACAAGAGAAGCCACCGCAATGAGAAGCCCACACACCGCAGTGAAGAGTAGCCCCCGCTCGCTGCAACTACCGAAAACCTGTGCGCAGCAACGAAGATCCAACACAGCCAAAAAGTAATAAATAAATAATTTCCATTCTCTAGCCTGGAACAGGGGTCAGCAAACTAAGGCCCCAAATAACTCTCCAAATCATCCACTTCTTTCTATCATTATCTCCTTCCAGGTCACCTCCCTCTCTCATTTGGATGATTGCAATAGGTTCCTGACTGGTTTCCCTCAAACCCACCCATTCATCCATCCCTCCATCCCTCCCTCCGTCCATCATCCATCCATCCATCCATCCATACACCACTTGTGCCTTTATAGTGACTATGCCCCAAGCACCGTGTAGGTTCTTGTGTAGGTGGAAAACAAAGCAGATTGCCTGCTCTCAAACAAAATAGTAAATTTCAAAGTAAGATGACCCAGGAGGGAAAAAGCCAGCTATCTGGAAAGAGCATATCAGGGGCCTCTTAGAGAGGATTTGGGGGGGGGGGGGATATAAATGCCATATAATTTGTTGTTCAGACTGGGACACTTTTGAGGCCGAGAGGGGGAACTATTAAAAGTTATTCTAGGGCAACAGGCACAAACCAGGACTGGCCCCGGTAAACCAGGTGCGGTCAACTGAATGCCAAGACTCAGAGAAGGGGCTGAGGAAGTTTGGGCACAGAGGAAGAGATTCCTTCTTTTCTTTGGTTAGAGAGGCTGCAAACCTCCATTAAAGAGCTAGAGGAAGGAAAGAGGGAACAGAAGCTATACGGCGTTGGGACAGAAGCGAGTGGAGGTGAAGTGAATGAGTCTCTGAGGGAAATTCGGTGGGAGAAGAAAGAGCACGTGAGCAGAGTGTTTCTCAGCAAGAGCTCACTGATGCCGCAAAACACTTAAACAATTTCAATCCAAGTCCAGCAGGATTTCTCTGTGCAAGTCAGCAGTGGTGCCACAATGCGTTTTCACTTCCAGAGGGTCACCAGGATTATCCAGTCCTCTCTCAGCAAAGGAAAGGGTCTGATCCTTTATTCACATGCATCTGTCTTGTCTGCAGTGCAATCTGCAATTTCTCCTGGACACATTAACTTTTCAGGAACTTCAAACCCAAATTCCTCCTGCATCGCCATGATAATTTCCACTTGGTCCAAACTGTCTAAACACAGTCCCCGGCCACACCCCCGCCCCCCAGAAAAAGGTTTCTTTGCACTGTGCATGGATGCTTCCTTTAGTGCCATTTTTATTGTTGTTCTATGAAAAGATGCAAGTTAAAGAGGGGGATTCTTGGGGCTTCCCTGGTGGTGCAGTGGTTGAGAATCTGCCTGCCAATGCAAGGGACACGGGTTCGAGCCCTGGTCCAGGAAGATCCCACATGCCTTGAAGCAGCTAAGCCCATGCGCCACAACTACTGAGCCTGCGCTCTAGAGCCTGTGAGCCACAACGACTGAAGCCGTGTGCCACAACTACTGAAGCCCGCGTGCCACAACTACTGAAGCCCGCATTCCTAGAGCCTGTGCTCCGCAACAAGAGAAGCCCCCGAAATGAGAAGCCCGCGCACTGCAACGAAGAGTAGCCTCCGCTCACTGCAACTAGAGAAAAGCCCGGGCACAGCAACGAAGACCCAACGCAGCCAAAAATAAATAAATAATAAGTAAATACCTTGAGGATTTTTTCCTAAAAAAAAGAGTGGGATTCTTTTTAAATTTCTTTAATAAGTTTGGCTGTTTGAAATCTTTGAATAGGTCACTTGACCGTGAACTTTTTGCTGGCAGGGGCTCTGCTTATCCCTAGCCCTGGTGCCTGGCGCAGGGCTAGCACTTAGTATGTGCTCAGTAAATGTTTAGTGGGGAGGAGTACTTGGACACCAGGAGAGTGAGCACCCTCTCTGAGATACCCTGGAGGAACCGTTCTCCGAGCTCATGCTTCATTTCCTGTCCCACTCCTGCAGAAACGGACCAGGTGCTCCACTCAGGTTGTTTAATGTCGGAGCTCCATCTTCGCCCATGCCGGGCCGGCCTCAGCTCTGCCTGCATTAATTCCCCAAGGCCATCCAAGGAGCCTCACGAAAGCAGATGTCTGAAGACGCCTTGTGTGAACCGCGGAGGGGTGTCGAGCTTCACGCCTCTCTGCCTTGCAGTCTGGCGTCTTCCATCAGCATCAGTGGCCCAGGTGGGGTCTCCAAGCAGACACCCCCCAACCCGCCCCAGCTCCCAGAGGCCCTGCCTGGCTGGTCCTGGGCTGTCACCGTCCCACGTCAGGGCCATCGTGGCGAGCAGTGACCTCGACTGCCAGCCGAGGAGTCTCACCTTTTCCTCCTCATGCAGCTAGCTCTGCGATGCTGGGAGAGGGCCCGTCATTCCCGAGCCTCAGTTAACTTTCTGTAAACTGGAGACAACGCAGGGACTCATGGAGTAGGCACTCAATGCACCAGAGCAAGATTTATGGCCACTGCGTGTTCATTGACGGTGAAGCTCGGGGTCCGGGGAGGCCTTGCAGTGCTTTGGAGCAAGGTCCTCTCTGGGTGCCCATGGCGGGGGCAGGGAAGGGGTGCTTTTTTCTCTGATTCTGTCCTCAGAGGTGCAGGAAACCGCTCAGCCGGGCCAGGTGGCCGGGCCTCGCTGCCCCCGTGACAGCCTCTGCCTGTCCCCCCGACAAAGGCCAGGCATCACCTGTGCCTGCCCGTGGCTCTCTGTGGCCACATGGAAATACCTGCTGGCAGCTGGGACTCTCTCCCAAAGACCTGGGAATGAGCACGGCCCCATGTTGACATGATTTAAAACACGCTTTGTTTATGCTCTTGTGGGCAGACGAGACCTGCAGGCCAAGCAAGCGGCCCAGTGAATCCTGGGAAGGGGAGATGGTGCGGTTTCGGGGCTGCAGATGTTTCTGGGGGGCAGCCCTGAGTCTGATGAGATGGATGGGTGATCGCTGGGGGCTGGGGTGGGGACTGCAGGTGACCAGCTCCTTTGTCAAAGGAGAAGCCCAGAGAACACGGGGGCAACACTGAATCCGTTCATTCAGCGTCTATGCACCGAGCAGCCACCTTGTGCCAAACCCATGGAGGAGTGCGACTCTCAAGAGGAGTGCGGCGTGGGCAGGGTTTAGGAAAAGCAAGGTAGCATGGCGTGGTCCCAGAGGACCAGCAACAGTGGGGAGATGTTCCCACCCCTGGGGGAGGGGTCGAGGGGATGGAGCAATGCCCGGAGCCCAGGGAGGGTAGCCCTATGTGGGCTGCTTGGTAGGACCGGGGCCTTTAGAAAAGGGACCCAGCACCTCTGCCACCTGGCCGGGAGACAGCCAGGAGAGCAAAGGCCCCCAGGTCTCCAGTGGGCGATTCCACTGGCTGAACGACCCAGAAGCCAGAGGGCGCGGGGCCTGTTGACTGGTCCATATGGGGCAGCCTCCTGGGACCCAGGGCAAGGAGGAGGGGGCAGACGTGGCTCCACGGGGCCATCAGAACGCAGCAGCACAGACCCACTCCCGTAGAACTTTCACACCTGGTTTAGGGGTTGCAAACAACCTAATGGGCCAGGCAGGTAATATAAATGAGGGGAGTCAGACGGGTGTGTGACATAAGGGCGAGGTGGAGATTGTGGGAAACTAAGTTGTTCACCGTGGGAAGGAAAGTGGCCCAGGGTGGCCGATCTTCCAGTTGTTTTTTTTTTTTTTTCGCTGTATGCGGGCCTCTCACTGCCGTGGCCTCTCCCGCTGCGGAGCACAGGCTCCGGACGCGCAGGCTCAGCGGCCACGGCTCACGGGCCCAGCCGTTGTGGCTCTCCACAGTTTCCCCTATTAGTAACATCTTACACTAGTGTGGCACATTTGTTGCAGTTAATAAACCAATATTGAAACTTTATTAACCAAAGCCCATAGTTTGTTAAGATGTCTTCAGTTTTTTTTCGTTTGTTTTTTTTTTTTGGGTATGCGGGCCTCTCACTGTTGTGGTCTCTCCCATTGTGGTGGATGCGCAGGCTCAGCGGCCATGGCCTATGGGCCTAGCCGCCCTGCCGCATGTGGGATCTTCCCGGACTGGGGCACGAACCCGGACTCTCAACCACTGCGCCACCAGGGAAGCCCCAGTTGTTTTGATAGAAAGTGGAAATTGGGGTTTTTTAACGGGTGAGCTCTTGATTTGAAATTTTAGTAGTGGAGTCAAATTTTTGAGAAGAAAACATTTTGCGGGCAGGACAAATGTAATTTGTCTATGAGCGGCTGGTCGGGGGCCATGGGGTGAACAAGTGTGGAGCACCAAGCTGGACTCTCTCCCGGCCAGGAAACGCTGGAGGTGGGATGGGGAGGGGCGCTGCCCGTGTTGGGGGCTGAGCTGAACCTGCTGCCGTGAACTATGAACCCGGCACCGTTCGGAATGTTCACACTCCTGTCTGGTGTCCCTGACCCCACCTCGCCCTGCACTCCCCGTTCTCTACCTCTGCACTGTTTTTTAGAGCACTTATCCCAATTTATGGCTGTATACTGCTTTACCTATTTATTTGCTATTTCCCTCCCTTCCTGAGACTGGGCAGGTGTCTGTTTCCTACCTTTGCCCCAGAGCCAGGCAAATAGAAAACGATGGATGGATGTTTGTCAAGTAACTGCTGTCGCACCCCCTTGGGGGGGTGGCATTGTTATTATTACTACTGGTAGTGGCAGTTGTCATCATCGTAGTCGTCACCCATATTTTATAAATGAGGAAACAGAAGCAGAGTGCTTAAGAGACTTAGTTAAGGTTGCACAACCAGGAAGTATGAGGGTGGGGACTCAAACCCAGGACTGACAGATTCTCAAGACCCCTGCTCTTAGCTTGAGCACTGGCTAATTCCTAGACATCCCTTAGATTTGAGCATAGACCTCACTGCCTCCAGGAAGCCCTCCCTGATTTACCCACCAGCTGGATTAGGAGTTGCCACTGGGCTCCCCCTGGCGTCTTCTATGCAGGATTTACTCCTCTGTAATGCATCTTCCCGTTTCCTCTGGGTTGTCAAGTCCACCTTAAAGGCAAAGAGCTTATTTGTCCATGATTCCATTCCCAAATTCTTACAGCCCAGTGCCTGGCATGTATCAATAATAGCAATCTTAATAATCCTCAAAAAAGGAGAGGACTATCATTAAGGAGTGACTACCGTGTGCCAGGCACCGAGCTTTTATGTGATCTTCATCAGGTCCCTGTTTTACAGACCGGGATGCAGAGTAGCTTGCTGGAGGCTGCACAGCTGGCTGGAGGGGGAAGTAGGATTCAAATCCAGTGCTGGCTGTCCTTGAGGCCACCATATTGGTCTCTAACCATTGTGCTGACAGATCTCACTGTGGGTACCTCCTAAATACCAGACGAAAGGGGTCGGCAGCCTCGTTCTGTAAAGGGCTAGATGCAAACACTGCTGCTTTGCGGGCAGCACCACCATCACTGTCCCAGCCACTCAACTCTGGCGGCAAAGTGCAAAAGCAGCCCTTGACAACATCTATGCAAATGGGTGTGGTTGTGTTCCAATAAAACTTTATTTACAAACACAAGTGGTGGGCCAGATTGGGGCTGTGGGCCTCAGTCTATGGACTCCTACCATATGTTGCTGAATCAAAGATGTCAATGTTACAAGGCATCCTGGTTTCAGAGAAATTATAATGTGAAAAACTCCACATCTTAGAATAAAGGAGATTTGATATTTGCTGAGTGATGAAGGAGTGAGTGAATGATGCATTCAGGTGTATGCCCCTGAGTGTTGCGCAGGGAAGACGAGTACCTAGCAGGGGGTTCCACGAACGTCCCATGAATGTCCTCCAAGAAGCCACTGCTCTTCCTGGGAACTGCTGTTGTCCCACAGTGCCTAAGTGGGAACCAGGAATCCAGGAAATCCAGGATTTGGTCACACCAACCGGCCACGAGGGTCCTGGCAGGAGCCGGGCCTCAAGGCTCGAGTGCCATCTGGGTTAATGGGCCTCTGGAGGTGCAGTTCCTCATCAGCCAAGGAAGCAGCCCCAAAGTCACAGCAAGTGCACAAAGAATAACTTTGCACTTCAATTCCATCCGGATTAATTCAACGAGAGTTTATTGTACAGCTTTCATCATGGCTAGATGGGGGAGTGGGGGCTATAAAACACCACTCCTGCCCTCAGGGAGCTTAAGCACATCTAATCTTATAAACCACCCAGATAGAAAAGCGGTGTGAGAATTCGGAGGCACCGGGCCCCGTCCTGTCCCAATGGAGCCTTCCGAGGTCTGTACCGTAGATATTTTCTAGGCAAGAATTAATCACGTTTTCGTCGGTGCTCCGAGCCAGACCCTCCTTAATGCCCACTATAAAGAGCCTTATTACACGGGAACGCTGTATATTACATTCTTCAGTGCACACCAGCCATGTGAGCAGGCTGCTCCCTGCATCCCTGGGCCAATAAATTAGATTGAGATTACTAGGGATGGAAGGTGGCCCGGCGCGTGAATGCCTAACGGTTGCTGCGGACGGAGATGTCTTGATTTAGACAGCCGAATGGCCCTGCCAAGAGGCCGGGAGGGTGCAGACTGGCACATAAAAAGCTCGTAACCTCCGTAAGCCCACCATCACCTTGAACAAACAGACCCGCCGTCAGGGGCCAGGCTTAGGGCTAATTGACAGCTTGGATCCAATGTCATGCTCATTTCCCGAACCCAAATCATTTCTAGTTGCTGGTTATTGATCCCGCTGACGAACGTGGTCTGCCTCTGATGCACAGGCCCCTTGTCTGGCTCCAAAGTTTCCCAACTCGGGGCATTCCTATTTTTCAGGTGCCTCTGTGGGACCAGAGGCCAGGAAAGCCAGCGCGAAGGGTGTGTTACTGTAACCCTGGGATGGCGGGAGGGCTATGGGTGAGCAGCTCTTGCCCAGAGCAGAGAGGGATGAGGCCCTGGTGGCCGCAGGACAGGAAGCAGCTGCTGTGGTGGCAGATGGCTGCGCTCCTCAAGCTTGCCCGTGTGGAGGAACCCCTGGGCCACAGATTCTGGCTCAGTGGACCCAGGGTCGGGCTTGGGCTTTGGGGGCTTTCACAAGCCTCTCAGGTAATTGTGGGTGTCCTCAGCTTCAGGTCTTCAGGAGGCTCTTCCAGAATATTCTAGCCAGAAAGCACCACTGAATCTGATGCTCCAGAGAGCAGGCAATGGATGCTTCCACTGCTGCTTGCCGTCCTCTGCAGGGAGTGGCCTGCTGGGGGGCTGGCCCCCCTGCTGGATGGGAGTTCTGGTGCGGGCTGGAGCTGAGCATCTTGCCTTAGGCTGCCCAGAATAAGCCTCAGAAGACAG